CCTACTGGCAGACAATGGAGGTCGTGAAATGAAAGTAACCTCTCTGTTGGTATGAAGGGGAAGTAAACAGATCTGGAGCTAACAATGACGTTCTTTAGTACTAGAATGAGGAGGGAAATTACACTTAGGTCCTGATTTGCGATAATTATTTAATAGGCATATGGTTCTAATGTAAATTCATTTAATTATCCAGTTATTGTTCGTTAGCTATCATAGCCAGTATAAAGAAACTAAAGTGGTACGAAGACGATGATATCGTCTTTGTTTCCACAACTGAGTGAACTGAGCAAAGAGAATAGCACTAATAATAACAGCAGCAGCAGGAGTTGCAATGGTAGCAGAAGCAGCAGCAGTATACAAAAAACAACAACATATACATTGCTGATACGAAATATATGTTTAGCAAAAGAGGTTCAGTTAATAATAGTCATTTTAATAAAGGCAGTCAAAAAGGTCATGCTAGCGAATAACCACACCCTTAATGTGGCTAATGTGAGGTTAAGATGCGATAGTAATTTTTTCATCTTACTCAAGACGAATATTAAGGTTCTCTTGGTTAAAATCCTTACCATTAGAATCGGCTTTCCGAGACGTCATCTCTCTCGATCAACCTGCATAAGCGGTCTGCACAGGAAGACCAGTTATTTGTAGTGTTCTTGTGTACCATTTTTTTCGCTCCCCATTGGTGCACGGATTCACTCTAACCCTCCCTTTCCAGGTGGACGCAAAGACGCAGCAACCCAGCATGGCAATCGCTCGCTCCACCTTCACCTACGTCGACATCGTGTTTGTGGTCATCTTGATTCTGCTGCAGCCTTCGTGGTCATTAGGGATTGGCCGAACCGAAGAGGTGCCGCCACGCCTTCACCCCTCTCGCTGCCTCGGCTGCTCTGCTTTGCCGAGACTTGGCCATAGGCTACAGCAGTACTTATATCTTCTATCTATTTATCTATCCTATATATATATGTGCTTCTGTTGTGTTTGTTGTGTGTGTGTGTGTGTGGTGTGTGTGTGTGTTGGTGTGTGTGTTGTGTCGTTTGTGTGTGTATAGTA